AATTAATTCTGATAATAATAATAATTCTAATGATAAGAATAATAATTGGACATATTGATTACTATCATTTCTTATATTAATATTTATTAATTATTAATATAAGAAATGATAATAATCAGTATGTCCAATTATTATTATATATATTATTATATGTAGGACTCCATGCTGTGCCATAGGCCGAGTCCAATTTGGCAGTCAGAGGAATTTTTCGAGTCTAATTATTTCTTGATTGGGGAGCATGAAATCCCATTACCTATTAATTATATAGCTGCCTAATTAATCCCATATCAACAAGACCTGTCCAATTATGAAAATAATTGGACAGTTACCTATATGGGATTAATGAGAAGCTGTATATATAATTTTATTATTTTTATTATTAGGTATCTTATTGTTATTATCAGAATTAATTGTTAAGTATATTTATCAAACTCATGCATAATTAATGAGGAAAACACAATAGAAATCATTGTCCATGGAGGAGGTTGTATATCTGATACAAAATTGTCCTGATTTGCATAAACTTTAACTCCAATGTTCTTAGCCAAATTCAATTTCATCTTTAAAATTATAGTAGAACATGAATGTATACAACTAGACGTTTCATAAGTAATATACAATATTCGTGTCCGTGTTGTATCAGATATACAATCACTCGCCTTCGGCTCGTGGTTGTATATCTGATACAACACGCCCACTCGTACTGCATATATTACGTATTACTTTTTTTCACATTCAGCTTTGCACGTGCTCTAATAAAGAATTTGGAACTTTTGATCAAAACAAAATAATTTGTTACCTAGAATTTTTGACTGCTTTAACTTTGTAACTAAATTTGGAACAATGATAATTATTGTTCCAAATTATTTGTAAAAATAGTTTGTGGCTTACAATTAAACACACAATGTAGAACTGTTTATTCACCGATACAATCTTAATACTATAAATTCACTCAATGACTGCAATATTATATATTAATATTTGCTAAAAAAATGGTTTACATGCAAGTAGGCTAGGAATGAACAGAACTTTGGTTTAAAAAAAAGATTTTTAACTTGTAATCAGGATGGTTTTGAGATTAAACTTAGTTTCCAACACTGAAGTTTGAGGCTGTACCTTATCTAGTGCTGTTATATTGTAAAATTAATGCATCGAGTTGTCCATGTTGTGTAATTACTGTTTTAGGGACTGCCTCATCGTATGGATTGCAATTTGTTTCTTTTATCTAGAGAACTTAGGTGATTTTTTTATTTCAGTTTGGACGTGTGATTTTTTAATGTACTTGACTTTGCTGATATTTTTAAGGATAAAGAATTCCTAGTCTCCTTTTGACAGCTGGTTTTAGTGTCGTCACATATTGTATTCCTCTGCCACCAAAGGTGTTGCAGGAAGACACTCAAACTGGTTGCAGAGAATGCTAATCACAGAGAACACTAATGGTACATAACTGTAACACACAAGTTATCATTAAACATTCCTTCATTAGCTCTTCATTAGAATTGGTTAATCCCTGTTACTACATAAGCCTGGGGGCCAAGATTATAATGTAATAACAAGGTATCAGTATTAAGCAGGTTAATTTTTGTATCACCACTGAGCAAAACAAAAAAAGGTTTCATAACAACAGAATGTCTTTCTAATAAGCAGTTACAGTCCATTAAGTGGGGCTTAACTATACTCTTAATATTTTCTTTGCATTAAATGCCTTGCAGTTTCACTATAATTTGAACTCCTTGGTGCAACTTAATTGTGCTGGTCTATAAAAAAGTAGCTTTTTTATTTTGTTAATTTAGCTATTTCAGATTTTTAATTTAATTCTAAATTTTTGAATCAGTCATAAGTCCTGGGCTTTTGAAAGCCAACTTCCTTCTTTTCACTGCTTCTAAGATCTTGCGTCGTGGACCGAGGGGAAGGCCTAGCTCCTGTAGGTCTTTATCGCAGCACAGCATTAACGCATTAAGATCGATACTCTCTTTGAGAAATGAAGTAGAGAACTGTTCTAAGTTCAACCCTGAGAGAAAAGTAACAACAGCTCTCATGTCATCAGAAACCTCAGTTTCTGCTGAATAGTTGTCTTCTTCAAATCCTGCCGACTGCAAGCTTTCTTGATCATGATCATTACTTGTGCTGCTCTTTCGAGAGGATTGGCTGTTTTGACTTTTATGGCTTTTCATGCTACCATTTGACTTGCTTGACACAGATGGATAAAGAATTTCTGTGGAAACATTCCCCTTGTCATCGTATTTCTTTATTATGTGTCCTGATGTTGCACTAAGATTATCACAGTCGGAATCATCCGACACCAAGCTCTCGGATCCATCTTGAAGTTGGGATGATGTTTCTTTAATAACATCTAAGTCATCAAGAGACTTTGAAGTGGCCATTGGACCTGGTTTGAAAATCAAATTTGGTTGGCTTAGGGATGGACGCTTTGTTTCAGGATTTAAAGTATTGCCTGGTTTTTTTCTCTGCAGAGTATCATGAATTTTACCTTTGAGTGCTTTGAATAGATTTGACCTTTCAGAGTATGTGTCAGAATAAACATGTGAAGTTGCATTTTGGGCTTCCCACTGGTCACTGTTGTCATCAAACCCATGCCCCCCTGCCAACTCGGAGAAAGTTCGTGACCGTCCATTTGTCATAGATATTGCACTTTGCTTTCCCAAATTGTCATCTTCCTCTCCCATGTTTCCATTTCCCAGTTGATCATATTTATCTTTTAATTCATTTTTCACTTTCTTCTCGTATGCCTTGTTTCTTTCTTGTTGCAGTTTTCTTTGCTTTTTTACTCTCTTAATGGCTTCCCGTTTTGCATGGAGTTTCTGTTTTTCCACTCCTTTTTTATCTCGAAGCATCTGGATTGCAATCAGTCCGTCAAGATGTCGAACACATTCCATACGGCCATGATATGCTGCATCTTCTAAGGGAGTCCGACCATCATTGTTTAATGCCCAAATATTGCACCCAAAGTTGGTTAAAAACGACAAACAGTTAAGCTGACCACAGGATGCTGCGAGATGCACAGCTGATGCCCCATCATAATTTGGCTTGTCAGGATCCCCCCTGTCATGAAGAAACAAAATTGTTAATTTGCCAGCCATTTTAACAATAGGTTGTGTCACTTTGCTTCACTGGATTGTCCAATACATTTCTGGTTGGCACATGACCCTACCCCCTGTAAAAAGAGACGTTGTGTCAAAATGAACACCAGAAATTGAAAGAGCACCTCAATATTAATAAGAAGGCAAAGTTTTAGCCTATGATGTCGACTATAGTAGAAATAGCATTGAATATAAAATTGAATATTCCATAAGGATTTGTATGGGAAAATATTGATGTGCTTGGATGGCAACTGAAACTTTGCCTTCTTACTAATGACAAGGTGCTCTTTCCATTTCTGGTGTTCATTTTGACAAAACGTCTCTCCTTACAGGGGATAGGGTCACGTGACCTGTTGATGCAAAAGGCCTATTAAAAGACATTGAATCAACCAAAACAAATTTATTCATTGTTTATAGTCATCAAAATTGAAAATGGATAAAGAAGCTAAGTATCTAATTTAAAAAAGCTCTGGGTAAATAGGATCTTTTACCAAATCAAAAACCCATAAACAATTTGCTTCTACTTTTGTTTGAAGGTCGTACTGCTTTAATGTGTTCGCATGTATATTGGCTATCTTGTTTTTCACTTAATAATAATTGGTAAAGCCGATATTGTGCATTAATTGTTTTAGAGAGGTCATGTTTTGGAACATCTGAGATTTTTTAAAATACAATTTCAGCAAAATTTTGAAATATAGATGTAAACAGTTCACGGTTCACTGAACTTTGTTTGTGAACTTCCGAACGAACTTCCCAACCCGCCGCAGTAAAGTAATGTGAAATGCACTGTAACCACAAACTTAACATTAAAAAGTTTGAACAATACTGAATATTATATAATATCCAAGAGCTTTATATATATTTGGCTCTACTTTTTTTACTTTTATTTGTACTTTTAACTCTCTGATATGTGAATGTTTTTTTATTATTATTATTGTTATTATTTCTTCGGTGGTTGGAGCTTGGGAGGCCAACTCAATATAGGGTGTGTCAAAATTATAGAAAAATAAATTAGATTCAAGAATTGTTTTTAGAAGCAAAATAAAAAAGATGTCGATTCAATAGAAATCAGCTTAGTTTGGAGACCATCTGCAGGAGAGAGAAAGCCAGCAGGTTATCATTGAGTATCATAAATAGAGTAATATTAATCTTGCACACATAAGGTAGTAAAGCTTAGGAATACATGTTTGTCAAGACCTTTGAGAACTTATGTCCAGAATGACCTCTTGAACTTAAATAAAATAATTGTGGTGAGTTTGTACGGAACTAGCAACAACTAACAGGATTAATATGCCACAAGCTAGAATTTGCATAATCACTTGGTATTTTGTAGAATGAACTGCATACGCTGTGCGAACCATTATCGACCTTTGACGCATGTCTCTGTAGGTGGGCATGCCTCATGATAGGTTAGCGAGGCATTTTTTTTCTTGGAAATCATTGCAATAAATAGAATGAATAAAATGACTCGACATGTCCGAAACTTCAAAAATAAAAACTCCACTTGTGTACAGCTTGGCTGTCCGTTCTTTTAAAATATATTAAGGCTTTGAAACTTCGAACCTTCGTGAAAAACATTGGAGGCGTAAAGGTTAATCAATAGAAAAAATTTACGGAATGCCACTAAATATAATGTGAAATTTTTCTAGGAGGCTCTTTGATCGATGTTGTACCACTCATTAAATTTCTTTCATTGTCTTCAACACACAAAACAATTGATATTATTTTCAGCTTGAGTCACTTCGTTGTCAACGCAATTCGTTAGATATTTTGTGAATTGTTTTTCATTGATGTCGAGTTTCCAAATGTTTCATTCATTCAATCGCAGCAAAATTCCAACTCTTCACTCATTCGGAGTGGATATATTTTATTCAAACGAATTAGAAAATGAATTAGAGCATTTGATAACGCAATCGGTGGAAAGCACTCCAAGACTAAGTTTCCAGTTTCTAAGTAATAGTTCATACCTATTAGGGTAATCTTGTGTTCTACTTTTTCGACATCTCAAGTTCTACTCGCGACTTTGTTTACGTTCGTTTTAAAGAAAGGTGTGAAAAAAAAAAAAAAATTGTATATCAAAAGCTCGTATCCTATTGTAGCTCATATTTACATTGTTAAGTCTTAATCGAAAACTTTAACAAAGCTAGAAAGTTTATGGAAAAAATCAAAGTTGAATCGAATAGAATACTATGTCTTTATTTCTATTTAAATGCAAATTTATTCTATACTGAACAAAAAGTATTCGAAATGCATGTTTTTGTATGCGATACAATAGCATGGATTTCAATGTTATTATTTTGTACAATATACTTAAGGATTTACCTTCTTTGAACGGATTTTAAAGGATAGACTAAGGTTATTGAGCCTACTTGAAATAAAAACTTCAAAACCACGGGAGAGTTTATTTCCGAATTATAAAAATCTGAATATGAAAAGCAACTAAAGTGCATCTGAAAAAAGCCCACACACTGCAGGAAATTGGGTGTGTAAATGAGCTGTTTTCGAAGAAAAAAAAATAATCCGAAGTGTATACAGGTGTTATACTTTTTAAAACTCACCCTTTTCCTACTAATAATCGAAGGGCTTCAACGTTTCCACAACTCGAGGCATAATGAACGGGAGTCATACCATCTTCGTCTTTACGATTCGTATCTCGCTTCGTAGCTGTCTTTAGTAGATCGACAATGCCGTCTCTGGCAGCTTTGTGGTACGGCTCTACCATGATGGAGCTTTAACTTCCCTATCTCATTCACAAGGGATACTTATTTAAATAATAAGTTCTCAGAATCAATTATCAAATGTGGTAGGTCCATACGTTACGCTCAACGGATCGAACATTGAAAATAATTTATTCAGTCTGAGAAAAATAAATACTCACACTTACCCAGCCTGCTTAGCGCCCTTAAACCGGAAGTGATATTGTCACTGCCGTTTGCGTGAGTGACTGACTACTTTAGGTGAATATTTTTACGCAGCTTGATGTATTTTTCTTTAGAATGTTTAGTCAGTGATAACAATAGGATCTATATGATAGATAACTCATGATCAGTTGCCATATACAATCAAATTATTCATTTATTAATTTCGCCATACTAAAAAAAAAAACCCGCAACCGCGTTAGCCAATATTGCCCTAATTCACTATGACGTCACTGCTTGTTTATGTGGGGGATAGAATCGCCAAATCCCATAGAGGGTTCGACGAAATTTGCTCCTAGCGAAACAGTTTAATCTAAAATGGCCTGGTTTTCAGATATGATGTGTTTTAAAATATGTACTAAAAATATTCTGAGCGTTTGCTGGCTATTCTACTTCTCTTCGTGGATTGATGCGGGTTTTAGAACAATTTTCGTCGAATTTGTGTTGATTTGACCCCTTCCGACGACCATGATCCTTTGCGTTTAAACAATAGATTGTTTTGATGTGACGTCATAGTGAATAAGGGCAATTGCTGGGGGCAAGTGATAAAACCCGAAAAGTGTGCGAATAGAAAAATATTATATTACCAGCTAAAAACGTGCAGATCAATGAGGGTTTTTCCTACCATGGACCCAGAGGCGCTAGAGTGCGAGCGTAGCGAGTTTCTTTGCGAACCGAATATAATAAAAATATATATTTGTTCGGCTCGCAAAAACATAGCCTTATTTATAAAAACACATGAAAGCGCTTCTGGAACCAAGGTAGGGTTTTCTCTTTATTGTGTTTATTTTAGATCATGGTCGAACTGCCTGATCTGATTGGCTAGCAACGCTAACATGTTAAATTTTGACAGCTTTAATTTGCCAAACATTAAATTCCCTGCTARCAGAACCTATTTTCCTTTTGTTTTGGTTGAGAGAAAGAGAAGAGAGATTCTGCTAGCAGGAAAGCCAAACGCTAAACAATTTTGAAAGAAATTACTTGTTTGCTTGATATTGTGGAATGGGACTGATATATAATGCCTGAATAGTTTGAAGGGCTTTTCTTGTTTTCATGCTTTGTTGATATCTGACTCAGACGAGTTATTGTGTCGTCCTTGATTGGTTCTGGTGATTTTTAAGGAGATTATGCCGGGGAGTAGTTTTGGTCTGGCACACCTAGCCGCATTGAAACGGCTACAACTTCGTCTTGAATAACTCGATCTGCAAGCGCTTTTCACACAATGTCAGAAAAGGATTAAAGGTTTCAAAAATGATAAATTCGTTTGGAGCGGCCTTTTCGTTATGATGTAATGATGACATCATAGAAATCGTTTACCGCTTATTTTCTCGAAAACTAGACCTAAACTTTCAAAGCGACTTGCGCCAGTCGATAGTATTTATCAAGGCACCCAACATATTGCAATATGAAAAAAATGTATGAGAGCGTTTTCCAAATATTACGCGATGAATATTTTCATGGACTTTGACTATTATTTTCCAACGTGTCAACTTTATACCATCAAAACCGGAACTTAGTAGATTCAATATTTTTAGTAACTAGAATATAGGTACGGATATAGACACTGTCCTTATTGAGTATGAATCAAATTGTGGCTTTCTTTCTAACGTAATGGATTTTTTGATATGAAGCTAAATTACCCCATTTGTTGTCAAAAGCGATAGAAAATATCGATGAAAGCGGCATTCAAAAAATCGTCGAACGATTTTTTTCTAAATAAAGTCACTGAAAGATGTATCTTTTACAAATATTCTCCTTTAATTTCATATGCATTGAAGGGTTTTAAGGCAGTCAAATAAAAATAAGTACGYTCACAACTATTTTCGCTCACTGCTGCTTGTTGATTATTCACGCTTGACTTCCGTGTTATTCCTTGTCGCGTGCTGTTAAGTCTGACTGAGGGAAGGAAAAACTGGAGAATTTTCGAGTTACGATTTTCGAGTTACACATTATTCAAGTTACGCGCTCGGACACACCCATGTCTTGGGGACCACGCCCACTTTGCATCTGTGCGTAACTCGATGACAAACAGCGTTGAAATCAAACTCGAGTTACGTAACTCGAACCCAACAGATTGAACCTTATTTTTCAAGTTACGCGCTATTTCCGTAACTCGATTCTAAAAGTGGACAAATATTGCTTTGAGTTAAACTTTTATTTTTTTCGCGTTATTTTTTTAGACTGATTCCATAAGTCAAGGTGGTTGTCTCGCTCAACTATCTACAACCGGCGCAGGTGTGCTTATTGTTGATTGTTGAAAATTACGTAAGCAGAATGAAACACAAAACTAAGCCTATTATCATGGTTTTTTTTTTTTTTCATTACCGTGCCTTCGAGAAGTGACGAGGTTGGATCATTCGGGATAAAGTATTTGGTACTTTTCGTACCTTTAAATGCATGAAGGTTCGGTTCATTTATTTACTTGCTTGTTTGCTTGTTAGTTCTTTAACTGACTTCGTTCATAGTGTTTTGTGTTTGTTCTCTTGTTTTTTTGTTTGTTTGCTTGTTATTTGTTGGGTTTGCATGTTTGTTTGTAAGTTTGTTTGTCTGCTCTGTTGTCGGACTTTGCATGTTTCACGGTTCGTTTTTCTGTTCGTTCGTTTGTTTGCTCGTTCGCTTGCCTTTTTCTTTAAATTTATTTATTTGTTTCTTTGCATGTTTGTCTGTTTTTTTTCGCTTGTGTATGTTTTCCTGTTTGTTYGTTTATCTCTTGCATGTTTGTTTTCATTATTTCGTTGTTGTTGTTGTTTTTTGGATGGCAATGAACTAAACATAAGTTTTACTGGGCATGATAAACAACATTCACTTGGTAATGTCCAAATCCCTCTAACCTCTCAATAGTTTCAACTTTTCCCTCTCTTGTGACCTAGATGTTTTATCAAAGCTTTCAAAGCTTTTCTCACTGCCATATCCAGTGTAGTGTTTAGCAGTCACTAATGGTGTCCGAGCTTGATTGATTCGAGGAAGGACTAATTCCTTACGCTCTATGTCATCTGGAAGCTCAATAAAACTAATCTTTTTACTCCCTCTTTGAATTTTTATGCCGTTTGAGCTTGAAGTAGTACTTTCCATAATACTCGAATTCTTTCTGTTACTGTCTAAAGTTTCATTCCTCCCGTTATTTTCATGGTTTCCCTCTTCACTTGCAGACACAGCCTCTTCTCGGCTGTAATTTAGATTTCCTGTTTCCATATGTTCTTCTGCAGTTTCTGTATGTTGTTTGACTTCATCTCGATAGCCCTGCTTCCCTTTGGCAACGTCCTCTCCTTCAAGATTATTTTCCTTGGCTCTTGTCTTTAAATCGTCAAGAAAAGATGGATACAATGCTGTGATGTTGTTCTTTTCTTTCTTCATATCACCTGTCATTTGTGCAAATGCAGTAAAAGCCCTAACTTTTATAAAGGCGGTTCGTATTTTTTTATCTCTGGATTCCTTTTCTTCTGGTGTTTGTAACACCGAGGAATAAAAGTCCTCTTTATTGTCATCGCCGTTCGGTCCCATCCAAATGCCTCCAAAATCTCCAATCTCTTTTTTCTCATTCGACTTTACTAAAAGATGTTTTTGTTCAAACTTTGCCTTTCCACTTTCGCTAGATTCAGATGCTCCAGCATTTACCTGAAATACACTGAAATCTTTATCTTTCGATTCCTTGCCAGATGTTTGCTGTACCGTAGTCTGCTGGAAACCTTTTTCAATGGTAAGCAGCTCATTTTCCTGGCAGCCAACGTTGCTATGGCAACCGGCTTTCTCAACAACCACGGTGTGAACTGGGTGAACAGTATTTGCGTGGCAGTCAGCAGCTTTGACAAGACTGAAGCGTTTCTTCGTTTCTAAATGTCGATGCGGTTTTTGAATGATCCCACTAGGGACTCTACCCTCCAGGACCACACTTGATTGACAGTTATTAATGTCACGTGACTCTATGCCACCAATGGCATTCACGCTACCTGTGTTAGTGTTAGTATTGGTGTCTTGGATATGACTCGTGACGGAGTTGCTTGGCTTCCAAAAGTGCAGAGTTCTCAGCATGCATTTTCTGAAGTGTTGGCTTTGGACGCTGTAGACGAAAGGATTTACGCTCGAGTTGAAAAGAAGAAATACATGTGTGAGAGTTACAATGAATGGTAGATGCGGAATGGTTATAAAGTTGGCTGTTAACCACAAAGTAAGGTTTGGAAGCCAGCATATACCATAGATGATAGTCACGGTGATGACCACCTTAGTCACGCGCTTGCGTGACCGGATCACAGCCTTGCGTGACTCAGATACCCTCCCATCCTTTTTGATCCAAAGATCGTAGACGACTTTTCCATACAGGAGTCCCATAGACAAGAGAGGAACAGGACCACAGGCGAAAAACCAAAGAAAAGCCCACGTCTTCTGGATGATGTCAGACCACTCGTAAATACAGGAAGCTTTCTTCTGATCGTATCGTATCGCTATGAAATCCGGCATTATAAATCCTATGGCATACATCCAGCAAACGACCAACACAATCTTGAGCTTTTTTTTATTCAGTCTACCACGTGAACTATAAGGATGAACAACAGCACTGTAGCGCTCGACGGAGATGACGATCAGAGTGAAGACCTGCGCGTGAAGCCCCACCCAGGAAATGGTCCCAAAGGACACGAACTTGCAGATGACGTCCGCGCGCACATCGAAGGGATAGACTATGCTATCAGCAAAGACATAGCGCATCAGAAGAAAGACAGCGACAAGTGTGTCAGCAATACCGAGGTTGATCAGGAGGTAATACATTACGGTGTGCATCGAGCGATTCCGAAGAACAGATAAGACAACGAGAGTGTTGCCTAGAACGCCACAAATGGAAAGAACACCGATAAACACTTGGATAAAGAGTACTCCTTCGTACGAATCCAACACTATTTGCCCCATCCTAGTCGATGTAATGTCTCAATTAGTGACTGACAATGTATGTTCCGTCATTTGATGGGATAAAACCCACRATTTAAAATGTTTTATCTTTGCGAATCAATTGTGGGTCCCTTGTTTTGTCCCTTGTTTTTCAACCATATTCTGCCTTTCTTGTTTCTTCTTCTTCTTCTTTCTTTCTTGTGACAACGAAGCAATAGCAAACACACTGTGCACTTGGAAAATTCTATATTCGTACAAAAAAATCATAATTAAAATTTTGGCTTGTGTTTTTTGATGTTCTTCATAATGCATCCGGACGTTTAGTGAGTTAATTATTTAAATATATATAAAATGAGAAAAACTAATAGTATAGTATGGAAGCAAAAGAACAGCAAAAAGAAAATACTGGTGAAAGGAATTGTTAAGCAGGAAAAAAAGAAATATCACTGAGTACAGTATGTTCAAAGGTGTTTTTTTTTTTTTTTTTTGCTGCAAATTTAAGCGATTGAGACGAGAAGCTTGAGTAGAAAGTTTCAGATTACTTAGCAAACAAGCCAGAAATAAGGTAGCATGAAGAAGAAAAAAACTGTAGTTTAAAATTAACCAAACCTGTTAGGTATTTTTTTCCCGCCGGCTGTATTAAGAGAAGACGAAAAGCTTAGCTTAGGTGAGTTTGAGATTCACATTGGAATCAAGCCAGATGTAAACTATAAGCTTACAAAATAGACCAATGTGATGAATGGATTAAGGTGAAAAGCTACTTCAGTTAGCTTGAGTGAGTTTGGCAAGAGACTCGCATTGAAATTAACCCCGAGAAGTGAAGTAGGGGAAGAAAACAAGGTGTTTTTTTAAGTCCTGGCTGCAAATTAGTTTAAGAAAAAACGAAAACCTTCAATGCAATCAAACCAATAGTGAAGTAGGGAATGAAAACGTAGCTATTATTTACAGTGTGTGTAATTGTAGAAACTTTCGTTTGCTGACATGAAGATTAATAAAGCCATACAGAAATATATAATTCGGCATAATAGGCTGCTGGTGGGCTTAGATAATCTATGATATCAATCATATATTAGCTTGTCCAAGTCAAAAAAATTAAAAATTTCATTAAACTTCTTGTAAAAGTAATATYTTTGGTTGATATTGGAAGAATTGACATTTTTATTTGAATAATACTCAAAAGAGAAAAAGACCCACTTGCATGAAAATCTCATGACTGGTGGGCGCTTTGAAATTTCTTGCCATTGTTGACTCGAGCGAGCTATCTTAATTTCACCTTATGCAAACAATTACTGTCTTTGCTTACAGCTGTGATTATTTTTAGTTAACTAAGTACATTAAATCATTGAAACCCGCGAAACGTTTAGAGTTCTGTTGTTAAAACTAGCGTATTGATGTATTTCGCTATGACATCATGCTATATATACGCTATTTCATGCAGCCCCTGAGTTGTGGAACTCCCTCCCATGAACATTAGAGCCTGTGATTCTCTATCAGGTTTTAAGAAAGATCTTAAATCTTGGCTCTTCCAGCAAGCGTACAATAACCATCCTAGCTAATTATCATTACTAGTTTATTCTATGAATATATTATTTA